AGAGAAAATTGAAAGAAATATCTTCAGAGCCAAAACGAAAAGCGCACTGAAGGCATGCGCTGCGGGCGCGCCGCGGAGGTACCTATGGAAAGCTGGCCGGGGTCCACACTATAACATTTCTTTCCTTTTAAAGCACTTCTGCTTTAGAGAAGATCCTGCCGATGAGCTTTGAGTAAACGCTGCAACTGCAGCTTTGTTTCGAACAAATCACTAATTTTCGGATTGATTTGTATCTCTCTGTGGCTTTGATAACCAGCAGATACAGACCTTTTGCAATTCCTCGATTTTTTGGAATTACTGCAAGTGATCAAAGTTATACGCCCTTCATTTTTGTCTCGCAGAACATGAAATGGCAAAGTTCAGAAACTGCTCGAAACAGCTTTTTCCTCTTTCTAACAGCTACATTTTATTTGCGGTATATGCAAAGTTTGAAATTAAAAACGCTTAATTCTCATTTCTACTAGTGCACAGTGCTGCACCCTAAATATCTTCGTATAAAGAATCAACAGCTCATTGGTCTTGCAAGATTGGTTACATTAATAGTCAGTTTTGAACAAAAAAATTTTACGGACTAAAAATTTGGTGCATTTTTTTGAATTTTTGCGAAGCTCAAGACTCGAAATATCATTCTGCAAAGGGAATAGGGAAGGTTTTTGAAAAATCATTCTGCAAAAAAAGGGAAGGACATTTACCATTCAATGTTTACGAGGTAAGCCTAGATCAAATGAAAGTTTGTTCACACTCCAGTATAACTTAGAATATACTGAAAACAAGCTGCAAATTCACAATGCTCTAGTCTGTAAGAGGCTACCCTATTGATGGCTATCAAGGCTCTTACGAATAAGACGAAAGAGATTTTGGAAAAATTACTGATAAGCACAGTACAAATAAAGGGTAGCAAGTTTATGCAGGTTTCTTAGCACTAGTTGAAAGAATTACGGTTGAAACAGAACTGCTAAAAGAAGAAGAAATGCTGCATTGGCTACTTTCTAGAGTACATTTATTGATGTTTACTCCTTTTTTTGACTGATTTGCTTGTTAAGATAACGAAAGGAACTTTTGCACGAAACTGTCCACTGGTTTAGTACAAAGTTCTGTCGCATTATTTTCAAATAATCATAACTTCTTGTTCTCTAAAGAATTCGCGCAAACTTAGTTTCATTAAGCAGAAGCAGGGGTTTCTTTGTGATACTGCCTTTGCCGCTTTTTAACAAGGGATAACTTTTGGGAAAAAAGCAGGAGAATAGAATCACTTCAACATCGACTATTTTGAGTTAGGTTATTGAAAAACTGAAACTTACGATAAAATGTCTAGCAAGCAGTATTGCAAGTCCTTCGATCATCTCTTTCCAACAACGCAAAGTTTGTATGAACATCTCTGTGTGTTATGATTATTGCAAAAAATGCCAATCAAATTTGCTATTTTGCATTGCTCACCCAAATATCCTTTCTTAGCATGCTCATTTGATACAAACTTTGCAAGTTGAAAAGTAGCGATCAAAGGACTTACCACACTGTTTAGGAGCTTGATCGCGTGTTAAGAGTTTTAGTAGCTCTTGACTCAATATGACCGATGTTAAATTGATTTTAATCTCCTGTTTCCATCTCAAAAGTTATTTCTTATTAGAAAGCATCAAAATCATATCAAAAAGAAAAGGTTTTGCACTATACACGAGTATTGAGTATGTGCGAGTCCGTTGAGAGGAGGTTATGATTTACCAAAAATAGGACTTTTGCATTAACCTAATTCTAAGGGAACCTTTCAGTCAGGGTCGAGCAAGAGATGTGGCACACAACCGCCGGTTACGCCTCCCCCCACCTAAGCTCTTTCTCGATACCCCCCCCCCCTTTCTTTGCTTGCCGTAAGCATGACATAAAGGCTTTACCTAGCTAGTTAGTAACATATTTGTAATTATCATGTCAGAAAATCCCTGTGGGCCAAGTAACGAATTCTGGGGTTTCCCAATATTGGGCCACTTAAGTGAGGTGGCTATTTTCAAACATGATATTTATAACTAAATTCCGAAAGTGAATTTGCTACCTTTTTCTGAACGCGAATCACTACTCCATCTTTGTCTACACCATGAATCCTGCTTCAAAAAGCCATCAAACTATGGAATAAGGAGCCAGCCAAAATCTCGTCTGTCCCGTTTTTCGCTTGCAGTGGTTGTACTTCCAGCCTATCCCTAACGAGAGAAAACGAATCTAGTTCTAATCATCCTACGAAAACTACGAGATTTTTGCTACTGAACTTACCTAATTTGTTCCCTAAAATCCTTTCTGGAGGTAAGTTAATGGGCTGTGCGGAACCCCTAAAAAGGTGTGGCTGCCACAGCTGGGGTTGTGCAAGACCCCGTTGATTTACCTTCAAACCATTCAAATATTTGCGTTTTTTATATCGTTGCTGTTGCCCAATCATCTTTTTTATAAAGCAGCAAAACCAGATGAAATCGTTTCTTTTAGGGAAAGATATAGCCGTTTTTCACTAACTATGCAAATGGAAGATGCTCCGGAAATATTGGGTGACAGTAACATGCCTAGTCTGCGCTATTATGTAAATCGCGAAAGAAGGCGACAAGTATAACTATATTTTATAGACTAAGCCTCATAGTTTACAAGTAATTTGAGTCGACTAGTCCTCACTAATCTATGATATTGAAAGCGGTAAATGGATGAAATGAGATTTTAGCTTGCTCATAATTCCATATTTTGGATGTTATCCAAGATGGGATTCCTATTGTAAGCAAAGACGTAGTAGTTCTTTGTATTAAGTGCAGAAAGCAGTAATTAACCAACCTTTGAAACGAAAGTAACAATTTGAAAATTACTATTCTACTTGAGTGGCCAATATTTGGAAACCTCAGAATTCGCGAAAGCTTGACTCACAGAGGTTATTTGATCTAATCACGAAAATGACGCTCTTATGCTTATAGTACTTTTTTATTATGCTTACCGTACGTATATGGTAGGCTAAAACATCAATGTGCTAGTCTTTACACAGTGCCTATCTGATATTATTGACGAATTTCATGTTATCGCTAATGACAGCTCACCTTGATAACGACCCTCAACCTCCCTCTCCCCCGACCCCTCAATACGACCCCCAGGTGTGGTATGCCACACCTCACGCTTGACCCCGCTTTAAATCCTATCCTTTTGCCGCGAGTCTAAATCGATCTGCATTGTCGTAACATGACGGTTTACATAATTCAAAGATTCTCTAGCTGCTTTTCACTCAGTAAATCAACTCAATGAATTTAAAATGTCGCTGTTGTTTAGTGGTTCTGAGATGCATTCAGTGTACAGTCCGTCTAAATCCTAAGGCATACCTTGTCGTGACACCGTCGTCACGTTTTTTGGTCGCTGCGGATCGACTGCCTAGGCGAACATTCACTACGTGAAAATCGCTCATCGCTTGAACACCGGACATACCCAAAGCAGCCTCGTAGCATTCACACACCACACCGCAATATACGCACTTTTGGAAAATTTGCGTTTGTTTGTCTGAAGTGCATTTATTCAGGAAACTTTGTACAGAATGTGGCCTCATATGCTTCCAGAAAACATAGTAAACGAGCAAGGATATGGATTTAACCTCTCCTTCGTATTTACCAGGTTTTTGTACGGCGCAAGTCAACAGCTGCGATAAAACCAACTACAATACATAAAGTTTTGCGTTCACTCTTTCAGTCAACGAAGTACGTTACCTTCGTAATAGATAGGCCACGCTTTCGGCCCTGTAGAAAATCTTGGGTAGGCATATTTTAACAACGGATGCTGTGCTAGCTCTTGTCTGCCAATCTGCGAACGGATTATATGTATACGTACATATGCTTGAGCAACCGAGATTGTATCGACAATTCATACAACGAGACTCGGCGCCGTTGCGTCCGACCAAGATAGCTCGTGCATGGAAGGAGAACAGATGACAAGAGAAATGAAAGAGCGCTTGAGCAAAGAGACGCCGATACCTCCGCAGTCTTTGCGTGCGGTGAATGCCTATACATCTATACTTCAGAAATTATACAAAGAACATCCGAGATTTGGTCACCGTTCACATGTTATTAATTAACAAGAACAGGAGAATATTATGCATTGCGAGGAAGTAAATGCAAACACAGTGGGTGAGGCATATGGGAAGATTCCATATTATATACTTTGCATGTGTTGTTTTCAAGGACTTATAGTATGGAATGTTAGATGACTACCTTTTCTCTTGCAGGGGGGACGCGCTTGGGTGAGATGATATAGTCCTAAATGAGATTGGCATTTGCAAAAAAAAAGTACAAAACTTCTCACAAAGAAGAAGCCATCCGGGCGATTCGCCCATCGCTGGTGCAGCAACAGCGACGCGACATCGTTCAATTCCAGCGATATCGCGAAGATATCGTTGGCGAAAGTATGCCCGTCCAAAAATAGTCCGCGATTTGTCGCAATGCCAATCTAACACAAACGCGGCGCGACCACACAGTTAAGCGCGCCGGCGCGGAAGACTCGGAACTTACGTCCACATGGAAATCGCGCAGCGATCGGAATCGCGGGAGGTATGCCTTAGGCCTAACGCCAAGGTCTCGCGCAGTGCAATCATAGTACTACGCGCGAGCTTCCCTTTCGACTAAGACACCCCCTTAACCAACAGTCATAGCCTTTCTTTACCAATAATACAATGAGGCATAAAAGCAATAGAAACCCTAAATCGGCATTTGGCTAAGAATCTAGCTCACTCGAGTATCGTTGCGGATACTGCGCGAGGCTGCTACCGAAAGACAGTCACTAGATAAATCAAAGCTTTGCCCCAATAGCGATTTTTACGTCAATCAAACTTTCATTGTCTGTCTATCTACATGTATCCAAAATCACATATTTCTGTTTCTTACGTGGCTATACATTCTTCTTCCGATAAAGGATTTTCTTAAAGATATTTTGGGCTCTCCAGAAAAGTGGAAACGATCAGGATGATGGAAGTGTAATAGAAAGAAAGTGCGTACTCATCACTTTACCTCAAAGTATTGGGTAATCGCTGTCGAGTCCTTGCCCAGATTGAGCACGTCTGCGACAAACATACAATGAACGGCTGCAAATATTGGTTCGCAAAAAAAAAACAAATTAAGGAATGATATGAATATTTGTGAGTACTCTATCAATATGTAATGATAAGATTCAGTGGCCAAAGTTGTGGTGTAAACGTGGAAAATGATGCGCAAACAATACCCGGCTTGTATCGCATAGACTTTAGCAGATTTTCCATAGCATGTACAAATCCAAAGTACAGTTAACATTCCATCCGCAACTAGCTTTCATTGGAAAAATAGTTACATAATTAAAGGCATTAAACCATTGTGTCTTTGCGCTGATACTGTACATGAGAATTCTGATGCGCATTAGATCGACCAATTTTTGTATAGGTCTGTGCTCTTACGATTTTCCGGTGGCTTGATCGTTGTCGCCGGAGAGGTTATTCGAGTTGAACTGCTTGACGAGGTTTGTGGCTTCCTCGTTGTCGCTGTAATGCTTCAATGAGTTGATCTCCTTGGTGAGGTTTGTGGCCTACTCGTTGTCGTTATAGAGCTTCTTCGAGTTGATCTGCTTGATGATGTTTGTGGCTTACTCTGTGTAGTTGTGGAAGGAGGCGTACGAGGTGTTGTGCTTGTTTGCCTATTCCTCGTTGTCGTTACAAATAGTGTTAGAGGTGGCTTGCTTGTTACTGTAGTGTGTGGATACGTTAGGGATACTGATGCACTTTGCGTTTTGTCCGGTGTCACAGTAGTAGACGTACTGATAGCATTTGCAGTAGTTATTACAGGTTCTGGTTCTAAATTAAGAATCCCTCAAATTCGAGTGTAATATAATTCAATAGCATTTTTTTAAAAAAATTGCAGTGTATGCAACCAGGACAGTTTTTGCTTCCGAGGGGTCTGATTTATAAATGGGTGTCGCAAGGTTAGGTTCGGCTTTGAAATGGAATTTATTGTGAACACACACACACACACACACACACACACACACACACACACACACACACACACACACACACACACACACACACACACACACACACACACACACACACACACACACACACACACACACACACACACACACACACACACACACACACACACACACACACACACACACACACACACACACACACACACACACACACACACACACACACGTTCAGCTCTATATACAACATTATTAATAATTTCAATGTAAAGATCAATGTTTCGTAAAAAATGACGTAAGGGTTACGTCGAACGAATTTTTCTATGTGAACTATTCAGTCTAAACAGCCCTCGACTTTTCCAAAGAGCTCCAATTTCGAAGTCAAGTTTCCCACTTAACACTCACACTAATTAACTGATATCCGTCTTATGAGCTGAACAAAAAACGATTGCTATAAACGAAGAAAACTTAACCGTAACAGCTTAATCAAGCAGACAAATCTTATCAACTATACAGTTTAGGTCATCAAAATGACTACTTAAAAGGTTTTATGCAGTAAGGAAATTGTTGAGCGCGTGCTATCTCGAAAAGCAAGCAATTGATTGAAAAAACTATTTCCAAAAAAGAGCCTATTGTCAATGCTCACATCCACATGATACTATGTCTTACATCTTTGACTCTTTGCAAATCTATCAATACTCATATGTTACAGTTTTTAGTGCCTTTCTTGAAGAAAAAGACCAATGGAAATAATCAGGTCAACGCAAAGTTCTCTGATGCCATTCCAGCAACAAGAAGAAAAGGAATACAGTGATGGCAGAAATACTTTGTACGTAATGATAGCCGAAGCGCTGTAGAGTAAGAGCCGAAAGAATAATCATGATACGACAAGTATCTTTTTCCATCTTACCTCCTGATTTCGATTTAGCTGTCGAAGCGATGGACACGATTAAGGAAATTAGAATTGTGAATACAAAAACGCTCGCAACACCCAAATATATTATGGAAAGCCGTTCTCCGATTCGTTTGCTTAACCCTAAACTGGCAGAAACATGATCGGCAAGCAAGAACAGTGGCTGATGAGTTACCTAAAATTTGTGCTAACTTAAAGTATACAGTATCTAGCACATCTGCCACAGTAACCAGGAAATTTCGGATTGCGGCGAGCGTCGAAACCATCTACAGTGCTGTTTGAATGCAATAAACTCAAAGGCAGTGTCCCGGCAGATTCGCGCTCTGGGGGATGTTGCTATGGTGGGGTTCTTGGTCATCCCACTGGCCTCGAGGCGCAGTCCGACTGGTTGTCTTCCCCCTGGGCCGAGAAAATAGATTGAACCGACGCGCGCAACCCCAATCGGCGCGCGCTCAGACGACTTCGCTTACCGTTCGGCGCGGGACCCCACGACCGCTCTCCCGCATTCTGCATGCTGTCCAAAGCAAAAATTACAGGCAGCAGGGTCGCCGTGTCAAGGCCTCCCAATTTTCCATCGAAATTCTCGTCCGAGCTGCATTTTGGAAACTGGATAAAAGCCCCGAAAGAGGTCTTTTCATCCGTTTTAAAGCTCAGATTCGGGAAAACATGCAAAAAGATGGAAATGCAAAATCTGCCGTGACACCTTCAAAGTCAACCTCAAACCAATGAAGCTGACTCTAGCGAACAAAAACAAATCAATGTCCAATAAAAAATGACGAAATCATTTGCGGAATGAGAAAAACGAGTGGACCGTACTACATATAAGATCAGTCGTAATAAATCGGTATAAAAAACCTCACTGAATCTGAAATTGAGTATCCTTTCAACTACAAGCTACCCCTATATCACCTTCCAGAAGAAAAAGAAAGCAGCGTTCAAAAATTTCTTAAACTTTATTTTCCATAAGATCTTGAATCTATAGAAATACATTGATATTGGCAAATTGGTTGAAGCAAAAAGTTTGAAAAATCTGCTGGATGCGTACCAGATTTCTGTTGAGATTTCCCTCCTAGCAAACAGATTTCAAGCTGTTTTTGAAAAAAGAAATTGGTAAACAGGAGTTTTTAAACAGAGATCAGTTTTTGAGCATTTGCGAATTCCATTCATTTTTCTTTATAACTCTCTGTATATCGTACTTTCTAAAATCATCAGACACCATCTTGTAGAGCTTGATTTCATGTTGAATAATATATTACATATATAGATATCTTTGCAGCTCAAGGATAATTAACATGTATCAGTTATGCATCAAGCGAATATCAGGTTGTCCCATAAGGTCCGTACGTTTTTGACTTTCACCCGCAACTAGTCATACACTTTTTATTTCTAAATTAGTGCGTCACCTCTGCTTCGCAGAGGCTCGCACTGGTTCTACTATCTAAATGCCTTACTCACACTCTATAATGGCATTAAGATTCACCGCGCAATGCCGGCTATCAGAATAAAATGTAAACAACTACTCATTCTGAAGGCTTTTTCATGTGTAATCGGTGATTTTGCGCGGATGAAGCTTTTTGCAGAAGAACAAACGCAAATTTAAATACGGTTCCAAAATTTCCATTGATTGCTAGTCGCCATAAGAACATTGATCACCATGAGCTACATCTCCGTGCAAAAATCTTGTCAAATGCTCGGGTAATACTTGGCAAACTGACTACATACGCAACTCATTCTTTTTGGCGCCGTTTCTGTAAAGTAGTAGATAATCACTTTTTAGGCCTAAGTCCGTGACGTGCACATTTACTTGCTAAACACGCCCACGGCCCTGCAAAAAGTGGATATACGGACCCAATTTTGCGGGACAGAAACAAAGTGGATCCGTTGACAAGCAGTTTCTGAGAGAACCACTCAACGGATATGTTCGCGTTTTTGCTTGTTGAACATTCATGCCGATAGCATGCGCTGTGCAAAATTTGAGCCCAGGAGGTTAGCTGAAACATGCTCCACAAATTTCGTGACAGACAGACATTCACACAGACGATACGCAAAAACACTAAACACTCTTAGCGCGTTATTATTAGGGTGAACGGTAAAAAATGGGACACCTACGAAATAACTGGAGGTTTCTCAAGAATGAGAAGCGATTAGACTTTCCAATTTTGGTGATTGTTAGAATATGTTATTATCTTTCAGATAATACCTATTTAAGGTCATTTACATGATTAACAATTTTTGTACTTGCTGAAATGCAAAGTTAGTCAATTCGATAAGTTATGAAAATTGAGCAGTATCTGCGCAGCGAAACATCTGAGACCACCCAAAGTACCACTGCTGGAGTGGGTGGTGGGACAGTCACTAAACCCACGACGGCTTAGTGGTCTCAACTTTCAAAGTCAGGAGATATGGCCATTAGCAGCTTTGAGGACAAAGACACGCGCTATTCAATTCTTTGCAGGTGAACGCATGTTTTCTAGGTACCATCTAATAGAGCTTTTTGCGCTCTATCCATACATATGCAGCTTATCTCAGATTTTATCTATCTTTGGAAAATATAGGGCAAAACATGATTTTTTGGTTTTTATTGCGCCAAAAATAGCTATTTTTCGCGTTTTTTCGCTTTTTTTCTGAAACTGAAAAGAAATCTTATGCATTTGACATACCAATTGAAAGAGCATGAAAAGCTCTTTCGAATGGTATGTCATATGCTCTACGACTTTACGGTATAGCAGCGCAAGATTGAGAACTGTTCCAAAAACCTGTTTGAGTTCTTCACGGCGCCACGCGTACGGTTATGAGAGAGGAGCGGTAGCGCGTTGCTAGAATAATAGGCGAAGTCGTTTATGTAAGCGACGTTTGAGTTGTAGCTTGCTTGTTGCTGGTGAGAACAAAAAACCTCAAAATGTAAAAACAAAATCAAGCTGTCCCATTTTTTACAGTTCACCCTAATATATTTCTAAATAATTTCTAATGGTAGATACCATTCAACAGAACAAAGCAAGCTCCACCTAAAGACTTTCTTGCTTTTGCACCAGTTTTGATCTACTTCGAGTTTGAAGCCAGAAACCTAAAAGATTCACTCGCCCCAAAATTCGAGAAAAAAGCGTAACTCCGTCCAAAAAATTCCTAATACAAAAATCCCGACTTGCTCACGCATGTATATACCGTTGCTGTATTTTCCTTGGCTGAAATTCAAACGGAAAGTTTGCTTTCGCCAATGTAATGCTATGCTGTCCTCACATAAGTAATTGCATACTGTAAGCCTTTACAAGTACAAACATGAATTTCCGTTTTTTGTAAGCTTTAGTTTCTGGAAAATATCGGACAAAGCCATTTTCAGTGGGGTCTTTCACGTTTGAGTCTGTATTTCTCGAGAAATAGAGCATGTGCAGAACCAAAAATTCAGCTTGTACTTCTTAAGGTTATAATTTACAGTTACTTATTTGAAAACAGCACAGCATCATTTTGCCAAAAGCGTGGAAATTTTCGTTCTTAAATTCTAGCAGAGGAATAGAGCATGTATAGAACTCTGTAAGCTAAATACAGAAATAAAAAATACAGCAACATATATAGGCCTCTCGTGTGGGGAGTGCATGCATGAGCAAGCCAGATTTTTGCAGGGTTTATTTGGACGGAGTTGCGTTTTTTTCTCGATTTTTCGGGTAGTGGAATTTTCATGGTTTGCTTTGAACTCGAAGTAGATTGAAGCTGGTGCACAAGCAAGGAAGCCTTATTGTAGAACTTGTTTTGCTCTATCGAATGATATTTGAACTTTCTTAGAGATAAGAAATGTATGACTTGTTGCGTGTGAATGTCAAAACGGACGGAACTTATGGAGCCTGATACCTTACTTTAGTTGAAAAAATGGATCGTTTGCGAGAGTTTAGAAAGCACTAATTTAAGTGTGTACGTGCATCGCAAAATAAGAGCAATGTTTGAAATTTATTTGAAGAAATACTTGTTATCGTATTGAGAGCTAGGCTAGAATTTCTTACGTGGCACTTAGCACTAACCTTAAGGGTGCCACCTTAAGGATGCCAACCCCTTCAGCTGTTAAAAGTTTAGCTTTGTAATTCAGTTCTGTTTTTGATCTAAAGCTTACTATACTGAGTTCAAAAGCTTATATTTCCTCCTATTTCAAAAAAAGTTTCCAAAAATTTCAAAAAGTGGTATACCAGGGGTTTTACGTGCGCTGATATTATTACTCAATTTTCTAAAAGTTTGTAGAGCTTTTCAAAGGTGTGACTGCAATTTCAGGGGCATAGTAAAACCAGTTATTACCGTTTAGGGGCATAAGTTATGAAGAAAGCATCGCGGTCATATGCAAACTTCATAGGTTTTAGCGACTTAATTAGCCTAATGTAAGAGTTTCCAGATTCCATATGTCCACCTATCTTGAAAAATGAAAAATGGGCATTCTCTTTGGATGAGTTTCAGATTGTTCAGTTTGCTTTGTGATCAGTTTACGATCAGTTTCCTTTTATGATAAGTTTCTAGATTGTTAAGTTTGCTTTCTAAGGCAAAATAGGGCCCTCAATAGCTGAAAACCCTTTTTGAAGTTCCTACCGTATTCCTACAGTAGTGAACGAAGATAGTTGATTTGCTCCATATTGCAAATCTTAGTTGAAGCCTGCTCTACAAAATGGTACCTGAAGGCAGGCAAAAGACTTCTATTGAAGGAGATATTAATGATCAAACAATGTATATACAGGGTGTCCCAAAAAATGTGAACACTGTTTGATTCTTAATAACTCCGTTGCTTTCATGTCTTTCGCCGAGCTTGAGGCAACATTCTGTAGAGCGAGGTTCAACTTAGATTTGTGGTGTGGAGCAAATCATCGATCGCTCTTCATTACTGTAGGATTGCGGTATGAACTTCTGGCATGTGGATCTATTGTGAAATATGCCATTTGAAAAATTTTTTTCCAAACAATCTGAAAAATCGTGTACTAGGGGTTTTCGCACACGCTGATTCCATAACACAACTTTTTACGAGTGTTTTTAGCTTTTTTGACGGTGTAATCACATTTTTGACAAATGCTGGAAATTCGTTTATTTAGGTTTACCTGGGATAACCTTGGAAAGAAGCGTTACAGTGAAGTGGAAGTTCCATATTCGAACTCAGCGGCTTCCATAATCCATGTATAAAAGTTTTTGACTTGTTTAGTTTTGTTCCGAGGCAGAATATGGTTTTCAACGGCCTAAAATCCTTGTCGAAGTTCCTACCGTAATCCTACAGTAACGAAGAGAGATCGACGATTCGCTCCGTACTACAGAT